AAGAAATACAGCCTCTGGAGAGGGCTGGCCTGCAGGTTAGGAGTTTGCCAGTCCCTTTTGCTGCTCTAAAGTGTGAGGCTGGGGGTGAAGAAGGGGACTGTGTACCATTATGTCTCCAACCAAGCTAAATAAATCCTTCTTAAATGAATCAGTGAGTGAATCAATGAATGAAAAAAGGCATCATTGTGCAGACCTGTGCATCCCACCTTTTGAGGTCAGCACAGACGGTATTGCCACCCAGAGACTGCCCAACTGATCATTTAGGGGAAATGGTCACAAACTCTGTACTTTATACAAGTCTTCTGGGAAGTTTAAAAAAGAAGAACAAAATTCTGTCAGTCATGGGCCATAGTTCTCAGAATCTATCTCTCCTCTCTCTTCACAGAGTGTCCCTATATTGCCCAGTCTGGCTGATCCAAAACTCCTGGACTCAAGTGATTCTTGCAACCTCAGCCTCCCAAGTAGCTGTGACTACAGGTGCATACCACCATGCCACCCCAGCTTGGAGTCTCTCTTCTTGCTTTTACCTCTGATTCACAGGGAAAGGGTGGTTCATGTTGAAGACAGAGGTGCTAGGTGAGTGCCACCTCGTACACACTGCTTGGGATCTGTCTCACCTTATCCTGTGAATCCATAGCTCTCATCAGCTTAGTCTTTCTTACCCCTGTTTCAGATCATCTGGATAAAATTTTTGCCTGACTCTTCATGATAAATTACGATTTTCTTTTCCTTTTTACCCCCCAAACCCAATGCTTCCATTTCCTCATCATTTATCTCTCCCTTTTCCTTTTTCTTTATTTCCTTATTATTTATTCTTGTTTTTAAACAATGTCAAGCTGGCTTCACTGCACTGGCCCTTTCTTAGATAGCTCCAGTGTTCAGTATCCCTTCTCCATGATGTTTTACTTTGTTGATCACCAACTATTTCTTGAAATTACTCTATTTTGGCTTCTGTAATATTGTCTTATTCTGTATCTTTGGACTTTCATAGTCACTGCTTATGTCTTTCCTTCACTGGTTTTGCTTCTTCCACTAAAGACTGTGAGGATTCTTCAGAGCTCGGCCTTGAGATTTATTTATTGTTATATCTGCTCAGGTTTTATCCATTCAAATCATCCCACTCTCACATCCACCCAGATAACTCTGAGTCCTCCATCCCTGGTTCTGATGCTTCAGCCCCAACACTCTCCTAGCATTCCTGCCAGCTTCACCTGCTTTCCTTGCAGCCCCCTTAAGTCCAGGAGGCTGGAGTACATGTTCCCTTCCAAAGTTCCTCATTCACCCAGACCTACCAAGCCACTTCCTCCTATTATACTTTCCTTTGAAAGGTTTCAGATGCAGGCCTTCCTTTCCATTGCCATTGCTAAAACCCTAATCTAGGCTGCCATCACCATTACCTGAATTCATTCATGTGTCCATCCAGAAAATTTTGGTTGAACACCTACTATGCCCCTGAAGTTGGAGATATCACTGTAAACACAGCAGGAAGGGGAATAATATCCTGCCACTAAGTAGCTTACATTCTAGTGGGAAAGGCAGATGAAAAACTAGAAAATAGGCTGGGCTCAGTGGCTCAGCCTGTAACCCCAGCACTTTGGGAGGCCGAGGCAAGTGGATTGCCTGAGCCCACAGGTTCAAGACCTACCCGGGCAACTTGGTGAGACCTCATCTCTACAATAAATCAAAAATTAACTGGGCGTGGTAGCACGCGCCTGTAGTTTCGGCTACTTGGAGGGCTGAGACAGAAGAATCACAGGAATCCAGCAGGTCAAGGCTACGGTAGCTGGGGGTGTGCCACTGCACTCCATTCTGGGTGACAGAGTGAGACTCCAACTCAAAAAAAAAAAAAAAAAGAAAGAAAGAAAAACTGGAAAATATATTCTCTAGAAAGTGTTTTCTAAAAATAACTAGAAAATGGGCCAGGCACAGTGGCTCACGCCTGATTCCAGCACTTTGGGAAGTCAAGGTGAGAAGATTGCCTGAGCCCAAGGGTTTGAGACCAGCCTGGGCAACTTGACAAGACCTCACTATGTAATAAATCAAAAAGTTAGCCGAGCATGGGGACAATGCCTGTAGTTCCAGCTACTTGGAAAACCAAGGCAGGATTACCTGAGCCCAGCAGGTGTAGGCTGCCATAGCCATGAATATGCCACTGCACTCCAGCTTGGATGACAGAATGAGACCCTGAAAAACAAATTAATAAAAATAAATAAATAAATAAATAAATGTAACTAAGAAATGGCTGGGCATGGTGGCTCATGCCTATAATCCCAGCACTTTAGGAAGCCAGTAAGAGAGAATCGCCTGAGCTCAGGGGCTCAAGATCAGCCTGGGCAACTTGGTAAAACCTCATCTCTACAGTAAGTCAAAACAATTAATTAGCCTGGAGGTGCAGGCTTCCATGCTCAACAGCTACTTGGAAGACTGAGGCACAAGGATTGCATGAGTCCAACACATGGAGGCTGCAGTAGCCATGAACATGCCACCATACTCCAACCTGGATGTTAGCGTGAGACTCCGACTCAAACATAAATAAATAAACACAGACATACACACATAAAAATTATTTAAACTAGAAGATATTTCTAATATGTAATATATATTAACTAATAATAAATACTAAGAATGCTAATAAATGTTAAGAAAAATAAAGCAAGGAAGTGAAAGGTGGGTGGGCTGTCATCTAGAGTAATTGCAGAATTCTCATGAAGACTTGAAAGAGGGAGCCATTTGGATACCTACGTATTTCAAGTTGGGGACCCAGTGGGGATATATCCTGGTGTGTCTGAAGAGACTATGCAGGGTCTTGTAGATTTTTTTTTTTTTTTTGAGTCGGAGGCTCACTCTGTCACCCAGATTGGAGTGCAGTGGCATGCTCCCTGCCACCGCAGTCACGACCTGCTGGGCTCAGGCAATCCTTCCGCCTCAGCCTTCCAAGTAGCTGGAACTACAGCCGCACGCTACCACGCCGGCTAATTTTTTGATTTATTGTAGAGATGAGGGCTCATCATGTTGCCCAGGCTGGTCTTGTCTTGGCCTCCCAAAGTACTGGGATTATAGGCTTGAGCCACCACGTCCAGCTTTTTGTAGACCATTTTAATGACTTTGGCTTTTATGATTGCAAAGGGAAGCTATCAAAAGATTTTAAACAGTAAAAGAAACAATCTAATTTTTCTTTTCTTCTTTTCTTGAGTTGAAGGTCTCACTCTGTTGCCCAGGGTGGAGTACAGTGGCATGATCATGGCTCACTTCAACCTGGACCTCTTAGGCTCAGGAAATTCTTCTGCCTCAGCCTCTGGAACAGCTGAGACTACAGGCCTGGTGGTGCAGGCTTTTTTTTTTTTTTGTAGCGATGAGGTCTTGCTATGTTGCCCAAGCTGGTCCTGAATTCCTGGGCTCAAGCAATTCTCTCCCCTCAGCCTCCCAAAATGCTGGGCTTATAGGCATAAGCAACCACTCCAGCCTAATTTGTCAACTTTATTTTTAGCAGCTTTCTTGAGATATAATCACCATATAATAAACTGCAGATACTTAAAGTGTAAGTTTTGACATATGTATACACCCCTAAACCATCTCCACAATCAAAATGATAAACATATCTACCTCCTCAAAAACTTGGTGTGCTTTTTGATTCACATTTTATCAGAATCAGCCTGAGCTGCTATGTTGAACGGGCTAAAAAGGAACAAAGGTGGATGCAAGAAAAGTACTAAAGAAGCCGCTGCAGTCAGAAGAGAGATGATGGTGGCTTGGACCAGGGAGGTATGTAAACAGTGACTGTAATGAATAGTTGATTAATAAATTACTGATCTCATAACTTCTTGCTGCTTATTCACTCCAGTTCATTCTTAAGAGAAATGAACCCAAATGTTCCTTTCATAGGCTAACACCCTCCCTTCAAAAAAAGGCTGCTAGCTCCTGATCGTCCTAAGGCTAAAAATTCCAACTCTTTCAGGCCTTGCTTTTTCGATCCCCACTCTCCAGTTCCACACCTCGGCCTCCTTCCTGTCTTTCTCTGGTCATTCATTCCTCTCCATTTGTTTCTATTCCACCCCAATTCTTCTACTCCTCCCCCATGTCTAAAAGTCCCACTTTCTCCAGAAAACCTTTTGGGCTCTCGACTGGACTCTCTCCCTTCTCTAATCTCTAGCTGCATTTGGCGTTAATACCTCACAGTAAAGTTATTCTGTTTTAGTTCCCCTGTAAATATCCAGGGACCGCGGTGTGCGAGCTCTCGCGCCCCGCACCTCGATACTGGGCCTATGCTACTACAGTCGCTCGCTGCCTAAGCGTGCCTGTGTGCGGCAGTGTCCTAGCCATCCTCCCCTCCTCCTTCGGCATCTGCTCTGCATTAGTCTGTCCCAGGCCTCCGCAGGCGCCGGTGATTAAATCATCATCATTAACCAGGGCTTGCCCCCCCCCCGCCGTCCCCAGCAGCAGAGGGAGAATTGGGGGGGGTAAGATCACTACCAAGCCCCCGGGGGTCTCTCCCTCCCCACCCTCTGGCACCCTGTCCGAGACTCCGCAAAGCTCCGAGAAACTCCCGCCGCGGAGCCGGGAGAAGGCCCGCCATCTGGGTGAAGCTCCGCTGTGCGGACGCTCCGCCGACCAGGACGGCAGTAGGAGGAGAGGAGCCAGGAGGAACTTCTTCAGCGAGGTCGTCGTCACAGAAGCCCGACGACCATGAGCCGGTAGCGGGCGTAGACCGCCGGGCATTTGGGGGCAGGAGGGGGCAGTTCTTTCGCAGGCTCCAAAAGTTAGTCTCGAGGTTGCGGAGGGTCTATTATGATGATTCCTACAGGAGGTCGAAGAAATAGGACCCTTCCCCGTGCGCCCCCCCCCCAATTACGGCTTGAGAGGGGGAGGGGCCGGTGGGCTCAGGTGAGCACACGGGGAGAAAGAGACATGGGCGGGGCCTTCCAGAGGGTGAGCGAATCCGAAGAGACCTAGGCTCTCGTTGCCGGGAGACAAGTCCCGCCCCGCAGGCGGCACCGGAAGTGGCAGGCCGGGATCAGCCTTTAAGATGGCGTCTCCTCAGGGGGGCCAGATTGCGATCGCGATGAGGCTTCGGAACCAGCTCCAGTCAGTGTACAAGATGGACCCACTACGAAACGAGGTGCAAGGGCGGCAGGGTAACTGCTGTGGTCGGCTAGCGGTGTGAACTGGGGCGGGCTAGAGGACGGGCGGTGGCTGGCCAGGCGCCCAGTGCGCCTGCGCAGGGACGGGGCGCCCAATGCGCCTGCGCTATTGCGGTCGGGTTGCCAAACTCCGGGCCAGGACGCCTGCGCGTTGTGCCGCCGATGTCGTGTAGTCTCCCCTGGGAAAGGAGGGTCGGGCTAGTCCACGTGAAGGGAGCCCCCGCTGTGCGCGGAGCCCTCTGCTGGGCAGAGGGGGAGTGCCAGCTCCCGGGAGCTAATCCCGTACTTACGGCGCAGGGTGTCGAACCTGGCCCTGGAGTCTGATGAAAGAGGCGACCCCCAAGAAGTCGCAAGTGTCGGGGAGTGCGGCTGGGTGATTGGTGACAAAGGTGTATTCGCAGGAGGAGGTTCGAGTGAAGATCAAAGATCTGAATGAGCACATAGTTTGCTGCCTGTGCGCCGGCTACTTCGTGGATGCCACCACCATCACCGAGTGTCTTCATACCTGTGAGTGCCCTGGAGACTACCTGGTTTTTTCAGTCCCTCCCATGCTGCCTGCCAGCCTCTGCGCAGCCCACCGCGCCCATTTGGGCACCCCACTCAGCCCGTGAATCTGGTTTCCAGAGCCTCTGAAAGTCTACTTTCCTCTCCCTGCAGTCTGCAAAAGTTGTATCGTGAAGTACCTCCAAACCAGCAAGTACTGCCCCATGTGCAACATCAAGATCCACGAGACACAGCCACTGCTAAATCTCAAGCTGGACCGGGTCATGCAGGACATCGTGTACAAGCTAGTGCCTGGCTTGCAAGACAGTAAGTGACCAACCTGACTTTGAGGGGCCTCTTGAGGACTAATGCTGAGTGGCAGCTTGAGGTGACAAGGGCTTTGGTGGGAATCATGTATGTGGAGGGACAGAGTGAAAAGGAGGGTTGATTTTTTAGTCTCATACTTCACTCTCACTCTCTTTTAGGTGAGGAGAAACGGATTCGAGAATTCTACCAATCCCGAGGCTTGGACCGGGTCACCCAGCCTAGTGGAGAAGGTATGTCCCTGGCAATGGGAGGATAAAGTGAAGCCCCCAGAGCATTCCTGCCCAGTTTTGCTTTCTGGGGAAAGAAGGATAAGAAACGTGTGCCAGTCTCCTCACTATCCTGTCTTTCTCAGAGCCAGCCCTGAGTAACCTTGGCCTCCCCTTCAGCAGCTTCGACCACTCGAAAGCCCACTACTATCGCTACGATGAGCAACTGAGTCTATGCCTGGAGCGGCTGAGGTGAGGGGCATGTTGTGCCTGCATGAGGTGACAGTGGCTCAGGGTGGGGACTGGAAAGGGGTGGAACAGAGAGTGCCTGTTCCCTCGAAGAGAGTACATCATGGCTCTGAGTGGGGGAGAGAAGGAAAGACAGGGCTTCCTAACCTGTGTCTGTTTTCCTCCAGTTCTGGCAAAGACAAGAATAAAAGCGTCCTGCAGGTGAGAGGGGCTGAGGGGAAGGCCTCTCTACAGAGACTCATCTCCCCATGGCTCCTCCCCCACACATCTTGTCCTCTTCCCTCTCCTCCCCGCCCCAGAACAAGTATGTTCGATGTTCTGTTAGAGCTGAGGTACGTCATCTCCGGAGGGTCCTGTGTCACCGCTTGATGCTAAATCCTCAGCATGTGAGTAATCCCACAGTAGGGTTTTTTGAGGGCAGGGGGGCTAAGAAGGGAGAGACAGAATCTAGGGTGGACCGGGGTAGTTCTTAACTACCTGAGAGGAGAGTTCCTAAAATTATGCCCCACCTAACTATGCCCTGCCTAAAATTATGCCCTCTTCCTCCTAGGTGCAGCTCCTTTTTGACAATGAAGTTCTCCCTGATCACATGACAATGAAGCAGATATGGCTGTCCCGCTGGTTCGGCAAGGTAAGCCAGGACCCAGCCAGGTCCCAGGCAGTACCCAGAGAAAGGGTGGGCTGAGGGGCCCTTTGGATAAGAACACTCCCCACTGAATACTTCTTCCCCTTGTTCTCCCCTTAGCCATCCCCTTTGCTTTTACAATACAGTGTGAAAGAGAAGAGGAGGTAGGGGTGAAACCCCACCCCATTCCAGTCCCCTTCCTTCCCCAGATATTTATGTGAAATTAACTGCATCTTTATTTTTTAAAATAAAAACTTTTAAAAAGCATCTCTCTTCTTCCTTATCCTTCCTACCCCACATTCATATATCGTCCTATGTCCTGCTTCCTTCAAAAAGCCTATGAGTTTCGTTGTGAAGAAGGGCCTCTCTTCTATGGCCATTGGCCCTCAATGTCTTGCCAAAGGACAGGGTTAGAGGACCCTATACATGTGAAACCAGGCCACCAACACTACTCTTGTGAAGGAAAGGCTTTCTGGAGGGGAACTCTCAGAAAATTCTCATAGAATATGCTGCAGCATACAGTCAGGCCTGCATGAAGGTATCCTAATTCAGTGGTGGTAAGGATTGGTCAGTGGCTACTGCAGGACTGAAGAAGAGTGATTTTTAAAGATAGATACCTGTCTCTACAAAAAAAAAACATTGCTTTTAATTAGCCAAGTGTGGTACGCACCTGTAGTCCCAGCTACACAGGAGACTGAGGCAGGAGGATGTCTTCAGCTTGGGAGTTTTAAGTTCAACATGGTAGTGAGCTGTGATCGCGTCCCTTGTACCCCAGCGTGGGTGACAGAGCAAGACCCTGTCTTTTTTTTTTTGTTTTTTTTTGAGTTGGAGTCTCACTCTCTCGCCCAGCCTGGACTTGCTGGGCTCGGGTAATCCTACCACTTCAGCCTTCCAAGTAGCTGGAACTACAGGCAAGTGCCACAACGCCCAGCTAATTTTTTGATTTATTGTAGATGTGAGGTCTCGCCAAGTTTTCCAAGCTGGTCTCGAACCCTTGGGCTCAGGTAATCCTCTCACCTCAGCCTCCCAAAGTGCTAGGATTACAGGTGTGAGCCACCGCACCCAGGTGACCCTGTCTAAGAAAAAAAGTTAAAAATAACAAGAAATAAAAATCCAAAGAAGTGCTCTATAGTTTTATAATCTGGTAAATGTCCCAAAGATGGAGGCCTGGCTGTCCACAGAGTATATTCAGCAAGCCCTTCAGGGACTGGGGCCGGGTGAGGAGAATGAGGAAAGGGTAGTTGAATAGGTAAAACTCTCATGTGGAGGAGAACAGGAGGAAGCTGCAAGGCACTGGCTCCACTCGTTAATTCAGCAAACATTCCTTGTCTGCAGGCCATGTGTCAGGTACAATGGGCGCCAGAAATAAGCTGAGTATGCCCATTCGATGGGCCTCTCAGTGGGGTAACTAGAAACCTGCCTGACCCGGACAGGAACCGACAGGCAAAAGCTAAGAGTTCCTGAAATTAACGAGTGGGGCTGCTGCCGAATCTGGACTAAGCCGGATGGAGTGAGCAGCTTAAGCTGCCAGAACCCGAGTTCAAAGCTTAAATCGGCCGCTGGCCCAAGTCTGACTCCACGACTTCTTGGGGGTTGTGTGTAGCCAGTGAGGGCTGAAGGGGCCACGCTTCCAAGGATGGAGGCTGAGTGGCCGAGGATGGGGCGGGGACCAGAGAATGATTACAACGAAAGCCACCTGAACTGGGTCAGAAAGCCCCAGACTCTCGGGAGAGACCTGAGCTCTCTTCGGCGCTTTCGGGCGCCACGGTCAGCCCGGGCATCCGGGAAAGCGCCTCTCCGGGCGAGGAAGAGCACGGGCCAAGAGGAAGGCGCCGTGGAGAGGCCGCAGACGCCGGGAAGAGCTCGAGTGAGTGGAGCAGGCGACGGGGACCCGGGTGGGGACACCGCAGAGCCACCGGCCGGGGTCCCCTTTCTTCCTGACCTGGTCTCCAAGATTCCCAAGGCTTCCAATGTGTCCGGGCGTCCTGCTTGGAATGCCTCCCCCTCCATGGCTCCACCTCCTCCAGGAAATACTCTCCCAGCCGGAATCCGGGCTTTTCTCACCGCCTTTGAGCCTGCCTCTACACCGACGCGTGCCTGGAGATTGCAGATGAGTTATCCCAGGGCTCCCTACTCCCCCTTTCCTCGAAATCCAAACTGGCCGGCCTCGCCGTCCGCGCGAACACGCGGCACCCACGCCGTTCTTAAGGAGTTTGTGTGCAAAAAGGCATTTCCTAGGAATGACTGCGGGGAGTGGTGTGGGCTGGGGGGAAGGAGAGTAGAAAACGCTCTTGGGGACTTTTCAAGGGGCAGGCGGCAGCGGGAGATAGGAAGCAGTCTGACTGGGTAGCCCCTGAAGGCCCTGGGTTGGGGCTTGGTGGCAGCTTGGCGTCCTAAAGGCCGGATCTGAGGATCAGCGGACCCGAGGACCAAGCCTCGAGGGAGGCCTTGAGCCCACGGAGCGGCGGAAGGCGCGCAGGCCTGCGTCTGGGTGGAGTGGCCGCCCGCTGGGCTCGGACCCGCCAGCCTCCGTCTCGTCTGGCGGCGGCGGCGGTGGCAACAGCTGTGGTGCGTCTCCCGAGGTGGCGGATGCTGCCCAGCTGCGGACGCCGCGCCGCTCGTCCCCAGCCCGTGAGTCTATTCCCCCACCCACCCGGACCCCGGGGTCCCTCGGGTCTCGATCTGTGCGGTGGCGAGAGAATCACGCCCACGGCTTTCCGGGGCTCCCGGACTCGGAACGCGCCGGATTGCTGCACCGCGCTCGGGAGTCAAAACAGAGACCGCTGCAATCCCGGAGACCCCGGGGGTCGCCCTTGGCCTCGCTGCGCTTCCCGGAGAAGGCATCAGTCCTCCCTGCAGGCGTGACCCGGCCTCGTCTCTGCCTACCTTTCTCACCCCTGCCATTTCCACGGCTCACACTCCCCAAAGGAGGGGACACCCCCCGGGTGTACCCCTGCCTTTTGGCCCAGAGGACAGGTCCCTCTCTCAGCTCTTCCCAAGTCTTGGGGGGTAGGGAGGAGATGGGGAAAATAGGATTTTAGGTTGGAAAGGGGGGTCTAACTTTCCAACCGCTCCCCGCTTCCCAGCCTCACACCCTCGGGGCTGCGGTGGGCGCTCAGAGCTCTTTGCGAACCCGGTACAGGGCCGAAAAGAACGCACCGATCCGCCGCACCCAAAGTGAGGAAACTAACATGTGTCTGAATCGGTTCCCTCTGCAGTAACATTTGCTGGGAAAAAAAAAAAAAACAACACTGAGAAGGTGGGAGACTGACCGACGCCCCGCCCCGCGCTCCTCCACCTGGGTTTTTTGCCGTCAACACCCATTTCCCCCTCACTCAGGTCATGGATTGTTCCCGAGTGGGGAGGAGGACATCAAGCAAATCTTTGAGGTCCTTCTCGTCCGCTGCCCCAAGGGGGCTCTTCTAAGGGTCCGTCAACCAACCCCACCCTGCTAACTCACTGAATTCAGTGGAGCGCCTGGGGCGGCTTCGGTGCCCAAAGGGGGAGGTCGGGCTGGGGCGGGCTTGATGGAGCCCGCTGGGTGAGAGGCGGTGTGTGCGGAATGAGAGACCGATGGGGGTAGGGCTGGGGCATGAGGATGAGAAATCTGAAAGGGTGTGATGCGGGGAGACGTGAGAAAGCACCCTGAAGAGGGAATCCTGACATAGGAAACCTTCCCGAGGGAGGTGGAATGTGGAGATCTCACCAAAGGGAGGGAGCTCGGGACCCCGACGTGTCTGAAGGGACAATGAGGGGGACCCGCGAAGGTGGGAGACGAGAGACTGCCTGAGGACGACGGGGAAGGAAAGCCGTCGGGCCCGCGGGGGCAGTGATGAAGGCGCATCTCTCGGGAAGGACCCAGGCAGGGAGGGCTCGAACTGTCCCGTGGGCGGTGCGGCCAGAAGAGGCGCGCAACGACTGAGCACCTGGGAGTTTCCGCGCTCCCAAGCCGGTCCGGGGGATCCTAGAAGCTTTCCTGCAAGCCCAAAACTGAGGTTTAATCTCTTAATCTCCCTCATTAATCATTCACCCTCCCTCCTACCCCCCTCCGCGGATCCGGTTTCGCCCCAGCTCGGGTTCCAGAGACTTGGGGGGGGGGCGGGGGGAGGAGCCCCCTTCTGTGGCCCCATGATCGTCTGGACTAGTCCCTGGCCGCTGGGACGACCTTAGTGGGGCCTCTGCTGTCCCAGGCCTCCTCCTTTTACCAGTCTAAGCTTCCCTCTCCTCCCCCAAACTCATGTTTGGGGACTGTCCAATCCCAGTGTCCAGCTGCAGGGGGAAGGCCATAGCAGGGGAGATGGACGAGGGGGAGGTAAAGGCCCCTGGGAGAGCCCCCCCCACTCCTCACAGACGCACCCAAGTAATTGAGAGCAGAGGAGGAGACAGACATAAAAGTCACACAGAGGATGCATAAACGAAGGTAACAGTGTCTGCTTGGTGACGTGCCTGGGATGTGGTGTGGCCGTTCCTGCGGCCTTATGGGAGCCTCTTTAATTGCAGATTAAGTGGAACCGCTGGGATGAGTTGAGGGCTGAGGCCTGCAGCCTGCCTTTCCCTGCCCCCCACCATTAATAACCAATCAACAAGGTTCTGAGGCAGCTCAGCTTTCCACGGTGGCCTGGCTCTGCTCTTTGATCCAGGAGTGGCCCATCAGACTTTGAGTGTGTTGCTCAGGCAGCCACTAGAGTCCTTTGTGAATGTTGGTGGCTGGGGAACCCTTGGAGCCCTTTACCAAGAAGACCCTCACTCTCAAAGTGCCTCGCCATCCTTGCCAAAGGGTCTTTGACCTAGGTCTCATAGGCCTGGTTTGGGGAGTTCCGACTGCAGGTTCCACTTGCCTCAGAGAACAGACAAGTGGATGCAAGACCACTGCACAAATGGTGAGAGACGCAGAGGTCTACAGGGAAGGTGATATATTTAACAGTCCAGGAGGGATTCATCTGGTTCTTTGTGACACTGATAAAAAATAAAAATAAAAAAACAGAAGCATACTGGTTTTCCTGGGCAGCAAAGCAGCAAGTTCCTCAGGAGTGGCAGAACTTCTCTACCTCTGGGCTGTGAATCCTCTAGTTATTTGGGGTGGGATATTGGAACAAAACCCATGCCTTGCCGGGACTCCATTGCTGGAGCATCACTACCCCTGGGCTGCCTTCCCAACCCAGGAGGACTGTAGGAAGCTCGCCCAGAATAGGTGTGCAAGAGAAGGGAGGCAGACAGGACACAGATAAAATAGGAATAAATATGCTAGACCTCAGCGTTTGTGCTGGGTAGGCAGGAATGACCATCCAACAATTTGGTTGGATCCATGAAGTCTGACTTTCAAGTCATTCTTCTGTGGGGAGTGAACCCTCACTGGTCAGGGCCTCTTGCTCCCCTTGGCTGTTTCTGAGTCCCTGCAGGTTGGAGAAACCATCCCTGAACTATAGGAGCTTAATATCAAGACAAAGGCAGACAAAATCGACTGAGTTTTGCCAGTCCTCACTGGCAGACTCCGCCTGGGCAGTTGCGCCAGCTGGGGGTTTGCGGGAGTCTTCCCTCCTGAGGCCCAGGTCGCTGGCAGCTTCTCCATGTGTTCTGACTCCTTCGAGGCAGCCTCGGGTTCACTCACCTGCGCTTGCTTCCTGGTGGCATCCCTGCAATCGCTCTGCCAGGCCAGGTCCTCCCAAGCCTTGCACTCCTGAGCCCGCGAGGCCTTAATCACTTCCAGCCGCCAAGACCTCTTTAGGGGGTAGGGTAGGAACGAGGGTCCAGGTTAGGAGACTGAGGTCCCAGCCGGGATCAAGGATCCTGGCACAGCCAACCCGGATCCCCTCCTCGGAACTTTGCAAGGGAAAGCAGTTTTATCGCCCGCGAGTTTATGAGCTGGAGCGGCGGCGAGGCAGGGAGTCGGCGACGGACAGCGTCTGGGAGAACGGCCGGCCTGAGTGTGCCGGGCCGCGCGGACCGCGCAGGGCAGCCCAGTGGCCCTGCGGGTCGGGAGCTGGCTCGGCTTCCCTCCGCGCCTCCCCAGCGTGTAGAAATACCGCTCCCTGGACATCTACGCGCCCCAGACCCACCGTGGCCCGGGGTGGAGAGGTGGGGGCCCGGGAGGAGGGGCACACGGGACTCGAGCCCAGCGCCGGGGGCGGGTCCGAGGCTGGGGGCCCGGATCGGGAGCCGAGCGCTGGGGCCCAGGCGGCTGCGGAGCCGAGCGCAGCGGGCAGCGGGACCCCCACAGCCCGGCCGGCCATGAACTCGGGACGCGAGCCCCGGACACCCCGGACGCCCTTCAGCATCGCAGACATCCTAGGCCCACGCGTGGTTCCCCGGGCACCCTCTGCGCCGCAGCTTCCAGAGTCGAGGCCGGGTCCCACGTCGCCGCTGTGCGCGCTGGAGGAACTGACCAGTAAAACTTTCCGCGGACTCGACAGGCGCGCTCCGCAGCCCTCTGAAGGTAACCAGCGCGCGAGGTCGCGAACTCGAACTTGGCTTTCTCCCTACCTCTAGCCTCCGGGTTCCCCCCCTCAATCCTTCGTCCCATCCTGGCCCGGCCGCCCTCATCCGCCCGGTGTCCTCAGCCCTCAGCATCTATGACGCCTCCCCTCTCGTCCATTAGTCCCCCGGCTCCGCGGCCGCCCCGGGAGGCCGCCAGCGCGGCAGGGGTGGGCCGTCGAGAACGAAGCGACCTGTCGCTCCGTTCACTGTAGGTGGGTAATCGCGGCAGAGAAAGGCCGGAGCGAAGGAGACAAAAGGCTTGAGTCGCGGGCGGTAAACGAGTGAGCCAGGGCAAAGGCGGCGCAGAGAGCGCTGGAAAGGGAGGCGCGGGTCTCCCCGGGTGACCAAGCTCCGCTCCAAGCCACTCTCTTCTCGAGGGGCGCGAAGACAATGTCCTTGGCACGACGTCGGGCGCGGGACTCCGCAGCCTGCCTCTCCTCGCTCTCTGTAGCACCTCCACCCCTTTGGGGCTCGAGGAGAGGGCGATGGTGCCACTAAGGAAGTGCCCAACACGGCCCACGAGTCTAAGGAAGGGCGCGATCCAGGTCCGGCTACCCTTCCTACGCCGGGCCGGCTGCCCTACGCTGACCTCTGGGTCACCGCCGACCTGCTCAGCCTGGGGCTCCCACGGGTCCCAAAGCCCCGCCCGAGCGGCCTGGCCCCGCACGAGGTCTCCTCTGGCCTGTCCCACCCGTCTCCCACTCCCCGCCCCGCGTCACCCCTCAGCCTGCCGCCTTGCGCACCCCGTGGCCGGCCCCTCTTGGTGCCCCCATCTCCGCCGAGGCCTCACTCCGAGCGCTTCGGAGGGCGATCACAGCTCTGGTCCCCGTCCGCCTTCCTGGCTCGCTCCCTAACCCCTCCGCTCCCAGCCCCAGCTTTTCCTCCCAGGCCACGGCCTGACTCCGGCAGCCTAGAGACCGACCCCTCCCTCTCCCTGCAGGCCCGGCAGCTCCGGACGCGCTGGGCCCCGGCTCCGCCGGCCGCAAACGGCGCAAGGCGCGCACAGCGTTCACCGCGCAGCAGGTGCTGGAGCTGGAGCGGCGCTTCGTCTTTCAGAAGTACTTGGCGCCCTCGGAGCGCGACGGGCTGGCGACGCGACTCGGCCTGGGCAACGCGCAGGTCGTCACTTGGTTCCAAAACCGGCGCGCCAAACTCAAACGCGACGTGGAGGAGATGCGCGCCGACGTCGCCTCGCTCCGCGCGTTGTCCCCAGGAGTCCTGTGCAGCCTCGCCGTGCCCGACGGCGCTCCGGGCCCGGGCCTTGGCCCTAGCCCCGCCAGGCCTGACTCCGGGCCCCACCTGTCAGACGAGGAGATACAGGTGGACGATTGAAGACAGCCGCCGCCAACCCCGGGCTCTGGACCGCAGGCCTCCCCACCTCCGCGCTGCGCTCTGCGCCTTATCTGGGTTCTAGTGTGGAGGGAGGAGGCCTACCCGGCCTCTTCCGCCCACAGTCCCGACGCCCACCTTTCCTGATATGGTTTTGGACTTGGAGTCTCACTGTGTTGCCTAGGCTGGAGTGCAGTGGCACGCTGTTCACGGCTACCGCAGCTTCGACCTGCTGGGCTCCGGCGATCCTTCCGCCTCAGCCTTCCAAGTAACTGGAATTAAAGGCGTGTGCCACCACGCCTGGCTAATTTTCTGATTTATTGTAGATAGGAGGTCTCGCCAGTTTGCCCAGGCTGTTCTCGAACCCGTGGGCTCGGGCATTCCTCTCACCTCGGCCTCCCAAAGTGCTGAGCCTCTGCGCCGGGTCTCCCAATTGTTGAGAATAAAGTCGAGACTTCCACCGTACGACGCTTCAATCTGGACTCCCGCCCGGAGCCCATAACAGCAAAATCTGAGGATTACTGTGGAAATTCCGCGCTGATCAATGTGCCGAGCGCTTTAAACGCGGTTTCCTTTGACTTCATAGCAACCCTGTAAGGTAGGTTATAATTATGCCCATTTTACAAAAGAAGAATCTGAGGTTAAGATTTGCACCTAGCACCCAGCCAGCCTTCAGAGCAGGTGCTTGTCAGCCTGCTACTCAGGAGACTCCCGTAGAAAGAAAGGGCGGGACTCTGGCCCACCCTCCTCATGGCTTTGGTCACAGGACTCCACTGGTCCTCTGGTCAGCCTTGGCCTGGGAGACCTTGCTTTAACCTCCAGGATGGCCCCAAAGTGACACATGGTGTCTGACTGTTTTCTCTTTCCCCGCCCTTAGGCCATTTGTTACTGGGGGCCGGCCCCTTCCCCCAGCCCTGTGGAAAGAACCCTATGCAGGGACACAGGTGAAGTGATGGGGGCCCAGAGAGGACACACCCCTACTTGGACTCCTCCTCCACCAGGCTCCTGAGCCAGAGGTGTTCTCACCAGGACTGTGGGGTTGGGGTGGGAAGACTGGCCCCTGAGGGGAAGCTTGGAGTAGCAGCCTTGCCTGGTGGGGACCCCAGATTAGCTCAGCCAGCAAACATTTCTGGGGTTTGCTTATTCTGCAGGTGATTAACCACCCTCCCGCTACGCATGGGGAGAGAAGGGGAACACTCTGTAGCTACCACCTTCCTCCCAGCTGTCCCAGCCAATCTTTGGGAGTTGGAGCTTAGGTGTCTTTCCTGTTTCCTTTCACTTCCTGTCAGTCCTCCCTGCTCTCTTCAGGCCTTTCCCAGAAGTGACAACCCCACATTCAAGGATGCGCCCCTGTGGGCTCCATGGGGAATCTGCTAAGGCCTCTGTTGCAGGTGGAGGGCCCAGGAGAGCATATTTCAGGGAGAGTGAACAAGGCTGGAAGGCAAAAGGGAACCTCTCATTTTCAGACAACCACCGCCACGTATTAAGCCTCACAATAACCCAGTGGGACAGAGACTTTTATTCCCATTTGAAGGATAAGAAGACTGAATCACAGACACCTAAGGACACTTGACCAGGTCACGAAGTTTGTAAGGGTGGGGCAGGCACTAGCCTGATGGCTCGTCTGGCTCAGGAGCCCATGCTTTTGGCCACTACAAGTGTTGTCCCTATAAAGGTGGCTGGGCCTAGCTGAAAGAAGCACAGGCTTGACAAAGAGGAGAGGAGAAATGACCCACAGCTTAGAGAGGAGACACGAGAGCAATGTTTAGGTCAAGCTGATCTGGCTGTGTCTTTGGGGTCGACCAGAGACCTGCAGAGACTCCAGGAAGGGGGTGTATCCCTGGCCACTGCAGAAGGTAAGAGCAGAGAGAATTCAGGGCCAGACTCAGGGTGGGGCAAGGGGGTAGTCACAGAGGAGGAATCAGTATAATTCCCCCATGTGACAACGTAGCAAACCTGAATGAACAGAAGAAAAATGTAACGTGAACAGAAACTAGACAGTGACCGCTGGTGTGGAGCTAAGAATCTACCAGTCATTATGTACAAAAAAATATTCTTTGCAACTGCCTTGCCTTTCAATACAAATACACAGCACATACTACCCCTGGCTCTTATTTGGGGCCCTCCCTGATTCCCTTCATACCTTCTAAAGACTGCCTGTCTGGAGCTTTTCCAGTAGGGTCGTTCACTCTTTCCTGTTTGCCCAGCACTTTCCCAGTTTTACTACTGGAAGTCCCACATCCTGACATCCCTCAGTCCCAGAAAAGCCAGGACAGTTGGTCATCCTACTTTCCCATCCTGGGTGCTTGCTACTGAGGCTCCGTGGTCAGAAACTATCAATTAGGAGTGGTGAGAGTAAGGAAAAGTGGCGAGGTTTCAGGAGTCATGTGGCTCTTGAAGAAGATTCAAATCCATACAGCACAGGCCAAGAGGTGCGGGGTAGGGAACATTATTTGAGAAGCTGGAGGAAAAAGAAGCCAGCCTAACCTGAGGCAAAAATACCACGCAGTAGTGGTGGATCATTCTTTGCCAAAAGCCCTAGTGAAGTCCCAAAAGCACACACACACATCTCCCAATCAAGAACTGGAAGGCCAGATGGGCAGGCCTCTTACGGAGTTACTGTAATACAATCACCCCTTAAACAAGCACAGCTACCTCCCCCCACCCCACTCCCCTACTAGGAATAAGCAAAGACCTCCCAGGGTAAATAATTCCACTCAGGAAGGTAGACTCCAGTCAAGTTCATTGTCTCTGCGCCATAGCTTTCTCCCCTTGAGGTTTCCTAAATTCTAGCCCAGCTGGCACTGCCAGCTCTTGTACTCAAGCCTTGAGCCGGGCTCGGTGGCTCAGCCTGTAATCCCAGCTCTTTGGGAGACTGAGGTGAGTGAATGGCCTGAGCCAGCGGGTTCGAGACCCACCTGGGCAGCTTGACAAGACCTCATCTCTACAATAAAATAAAAAATTAGCTGGCTATGGTAGTGCACGCCTGTAGTTCTAGCTACTTGGAAGGCTGAGGCAGAAGGATTGCTGGAGCCCAGCAGGTCAAGGCTGCGGTGGCTGGGAGCATGCCACTGTACTCCAGTCTGGGTGACAGAGTGAGACTCCAACTCAAAAACAAAACAAAACAAAACTCAAACCTGTCCTACCATAATGGCCTCTGGAGGGATGTCTGTTCCACTTATGCCCCAGAACAGTGTGCATGGTCACCTTAACGAGCTTATTGAAACCTACATTGCCAGGCCCCATTCCTATGGTTTCTGACTTGGAAGGTCCATGGTGGGACTTGAGAAATTGCATTTCTAGCAAGTTACTGGGTGATGCTGACACTGCTGGTCTAGAGACTGTACTTCGAGAACCACAGACCCAGGATCTCTAGAGTTTGTGAATTTAAGCAGCAGTTCATTCATATTCCTTTCTTCCTGCTGTGGGAAGCATGAATATGTAGGACAGTTGCAGATAAAAATTGGTTTATTTAGCACCCACTATGTACCAGGCACTCGGTAGGTATTTTCTCACACTTTCTCTTTCAATCCTCACAACATCCCTGTGAGGTAGGAACTGTCCCCATTTTTAAGGATGAGGGAATTGAGGCTTAGCTGTTGAGACCCGTCCAAGGTAATCCAGCTAGTAATGGCAGACTGTATCCTGCTACCTAGTACTTAAGGTGCCTAAACCATAAACAATTAAGAAATTTAGTGGGGGTACAGTGGCTTGTGCCTATAATCCCAACTACTCAGGAGCCTGAGGCAGAAGGATCACTTAAGGCCAGGAGTTTGAGACTAGCCTGGGTAAAATAGTGAGACCCTGTCTTTTAAAAAATAAAAAATAAATTGGGAAAGTCCTATGTAAAAGAGATGTTTCAACACCTCCTATCTCCAGGTATGACAGTATTGAGCAAGACCCATGGGCAGTAATAATCGTTTAACCTAATGAATGGTTCCTCTGTGAAAGGTACTGGGGAGTAGGGGGACTAAAATGTCCCCTGCAGATCCACACTTAAATGAGCAGAAAGTCCCAGGCAGGACTAGGGAGGAACAAGCCAGGAGAAGCTGCCAGGAACGCAGAAGAGAAACCAAAAGATCATGATTCTTACACAGGAAGTAGAGAATTATAGTCTTCTTTGGGACAGTGACCCTGGTGGAAAAACCAAGTAAGCTCACACGGGGAAGGTTAATGGTAATCCCCCATTCTGGGTGGAGAAAGAGAGTGGCCAAGGTAGCTGCAAGCCAGGCATCTGACAAGGCCCATTCAGCAGGAGAGCCAGCAGTTGGGAGTATGGAGATATAGGGCCCTGCCAGCTCCACGCAGGTGCTGGTAAGGGATTTCCCGAATGCAAACCCTTGGTGAATCTTCTAGCAGTGAGAAGAGGTGAGCATCAGACTGCTGGACAAAGGGGAGGCCAGAGTATGCATAGCAATGTGGACAGGAAACAGGGCATGAGGGACTGGGAGCAAATGGGGCTGTGGCTGGAAAAAACGGCAGGAGCTGTGGTTAGGAAGAGGTGAGCATCCATCAAGCTGAGAGGCAAGACTCCCACCTCATCGTCACTGTGACCCCGGTCCAGAGCAGGGAGCTTTAGCTGATGAAGGCAGCCCCAGGGCCGAGAAGCAGAGCCAGCCCTACCCTGCTTTTATACAACTGCCTTCTTGGTGGGTTTTATTTTTCTTTACCATCCCCAGAAGAAGCCATCTGCTTGAGAACCAAAGTAAAGATGTTTCAGTGGACATGGGGCTCCTTTCTCTCATCAGAAGTTTTCCCGTGCCAGGGGTGTCCTTAACTATGGATCGAGAGAATAAGGTCTCAAGATATGCAATGGCCTGTCACCACACAATGTCCCCATCCCTGTGGGGGATACACATGGCCTTGCCCTATGAAGGATCAGTCCTTCCTTGTCCAGCCTGAGGTAGATACTGGGTCCCAAGTCCCAGGATGTCCCAGTCCTTTGAAAGCTCCTGGAGATGGGGAAGGTGGGGTCTTCTATTCTGAGCCTGGGGGAGGTGCCAGGTGGGCTGGCTCCAGTGACGCGGGGAATAATGTGCATGTGGAGACAGAAGGCCAGGGGCCCTTGGGGCAGTGCTTCGAGGGTAACTAAGGGAGAGTAGGCCTGAGGTTCTCAGCTCAGCATGGGGAAACAGCCGGGGGGCTCCAGTGGTCCGAGGTGCCGCATGGATTCCTCCTTGCTGATCCTGCTGAGAAGGGAGAAAGGGGCACTGGGTAATCCTTTTGAGCAGCACAGCCCATGCCTCTCACTCCACCCATTCCTGTTCCCCTTACCACCTGAGACAGAAGGGAGCACTGCTTGGTGTTGCAGTCCCAGCCAACTCTCTCTGATACCCCCTTAGCATGAGGGTGGGCCTGGTCACCTTACCAGAGTGAGCTGGAGAAGGCAACAGTGGAGCTCCCAGGCTGCATCAGGCTGGGTCCCACCTCTCAGAGTCTCCTGAAACACAGCGGCTGCCTCCCTGAAGCGCTTTAGTCCCAGAAGGATTAGAGAGAGAAAAGTTTAGGGAGTCACTGAGCTTAAAATACCCCCAATCTAAAACTGGCCCTTACTCCTAGTACCACTACCATTTGTTGATGCACTCCCCACCGCAGCCTACCCAAACCTCTCCTCGGTTTCTAGCCCCGACCCATTACCTGGAGTCCCATCAAGGCTTTGCCCAGGCGGAAGAGGCCTCGGGGCCAACCGGGCTGTAGGGTAAGTGCCACTTGGGCATCGGCCAGGGCTTGCACTGGCTGACCCAGCCGCTCATGGCAGAAGGAGCGATTTCCAAACAACCTGATAAAGACAGAAGAGGGCCAAAGGTCCAAGTCTTCCATACCCTGCCTATCCCTGACTGCTCAGCACACTGGCCACACCCTTACCTACCGGTGGTCCTGGGGGTTAAGCTTCAAGGCCTGGGTGAGGAGGATCACAGCCTCATGGTAGAAACCATTTCGAGCAAAACTGGTACCCAACTCTAGAAAGAAGAGAGTGTGCGGAGGTCCAGATGGGGCTATTCTAGGGAGGACAGGGTGAGAAGGGAGAGAGAAAGCAGCTCACCTGCCAGCTCCTGGCTCTGCTGTAAGGCAGCTGCCAGCTGTCCCGGAGATGTCTAGGGATGGGAAGCAAAGTCAAGCAGGCCTCAAGGCCTCAGCCTCCCCAAATCCTTATCCTTTGTTCAAACAGAAAACATTGCCATTAGCATTAGCCACCTCATGCAATTCACAAGACGGCCCTGCAAGATGGTTTTGAACAGCACAAAGAGGAAACTTGATGTTTCTTACAGAGGAAATTACCCCAGGTCCTGGTGACAGTGATGAAGCCTGACCCCAGGGCTCTTGACTCTAGGGCTCGAGAACTCCTGTTGGACACTCCCCTCAACCCTTAGATCATGTGCCTTTCCAGCACCTACTTGTGCTTTTGGTTCTAGCCAAACTGGTTCTTTTGCCCACCTTACCTCTGCCTTAGGACACTGCTTGAGTCTTTCCTCCCTTGGAGAGCTCCCTTCCTCTGGGTCTGTCTTCTTCTGGGGTGCTGAGCCCCTACCTTCCAGCTCCTGGCTCAGTCCCTTCTCTCTGTGGGCACTGGAGGGCCAATCCCCAACCTTGCGCAGAGCCAGAGACACAAAAGTGCTAGATAGATCCAGTGAGTCCTGTGGGCAAAAGGATAGTTAGGAAGGGGTGGGGATGAAGCCCATCTCAGAGGAGGAGGAAGAGACAGTGAGCAGAGACCAGGAGGGAAGAAGGGGCCTCACCTCTTCTTCACCACACTGTGCCTGAATTGAGTTCCCAGGGCTGGATGGGGGGCTCTCATCTCCATCGGGGGTAGCTTTGGCCTGGAGGAAAGGTGGACAGTACATAGTTGAGATCATCTTAAGCCACCTGATCACTCAGGCCTCCCTTCATGGCTCTTGGTGCTCTTGGTACCTGCCTGTGGATACTCACCCTGGGGTCCCCACAGCCCTGCTCCAAACGCTCCTGTCGCTTTCGTTCCTTTTGACGCTGAAACAATAATGATAATGATAACAATGTACTTTGAGCATTTACTGTATGTCATGTACTGGGCTAAGAGCTGGGCATACACCAGCTCATTTGATCTTTGCAACCCTACAATGTAGACATTGTTATTATCCGCATTCTACAGGTGAAAAAAGCAGACAAGAGAGGAACCAGCCAGAGGCCTCACAGTAAGGAGGAGGCAGGTTCCAACCTAGGCAGCGTAGCAGGATTCCAGATCCACCGTACCAGATGGCCTCTCAGAGACCCCTAGTCCCTGAACTCCTTGGGCCCTCCTGGCAAGAAGATGTACCTTGGGCCATCTTGAGCTCTTTCCCATTCCCATAAAGTCTCCTCTTGCCTCCCCTCAATCCCTCTGGGATCCCCCGCCCTCAATCTCTGGCCACCTTCTTCTTGAGTCGTTTCTTCTCTGCTTTCTTTTTCATGCGCTCCTCCTCAGCCACCAGCTCCTCAGCCAGGCGGTTGGCTTCCTGGAGGACGAAGGGCAGGTGACAGGAATATAGAGAGACAAGGAGAATGAGAGAGAACATGAGAGGGGGCACATGAAGTGCAGATGAATTCTGAAAAGTACAGATTAGGGGAGAAAATAGGGGTGGGAATATGAGGATTGAAAGAACCCTGGAGGACAGTGAAGCCCGTTCCTGAGTTTCACCTCTTCTGTCACCTGGAGCTTCTGGGGCATGGCCAGTTGGAGCAGGCTGTCTGAGACACCGGAAGAGGCTGCAGAGGCAGAGAGGTTTTGAGGGCTGGGCTCAGATCCATGGGCTGGGTATAAGAAGGACTTGCGGAGGCCACAGTAGGTGCCCAGTCCCTCAGCCCCCTTGCCCCTGCTGCTCTGTTCAGTCGTTCCCCCCTCATCACTGGAATGGTCTAGGAGGTCATCTGTCAGGAGGGAGAAAGAGACAGGAAAGCAGAGGCACATGAGCGAGGGGAGCATCCGAGGGTCAGCCCTCCCCAGGGTACCAGCCTCGACCCCGGGGCCCGGCCCCTGCACTCCCCACCATGGTGCCACAGCTGCAGCCGCCCGCTGCTCCCATCCACATGGATCCGGTGCAGGCCCTGGGGATCACTCTCCACAAGCCGTCGAAGAAAATCCACTATGTCCTGGGAGGGGGAGGGGAGGGTAGGCTGGTGTTGGGGGGAGCTCAGGGAGATAGTGAGGGCTTGGTTGGCTTGACCTCTCCACCATGGCAGCCACAGACCAGCCATCCAGCCCAGAGAATCTCACTGGCTCTGACCTCTCCCTGCTCAGCACCCCAAATCCGCTGCCCTTGGCTCTTGTGGCATATCACCTCCCCTCATTGCTCTCCTGTCTCTGTAAGGGCTGACTGCAGCCTTCAGCCCGGCTCCTCCACCTTCCAGGACCTTCTTCCCTTTACCTGCCACTGGGTCAACCACACTGAGCTCCCTGGAATGGAGTCCTCTCACCTGCTCTTGCAGCTAGGTCATGTCCTACACTATGAAGGGCCCCATATGACCCACCCGGGGGCTACCTCTCACCTGCTCTTGCAGCTAGGTCATATCCTACGCTATGAAGGGCCCCATATGACCCACCCGGGGGCTACCTCTCACCTAAACAAGTACGGCAGCTCCTAGCTAGCCTCTCCCCTGCACTTCCTGCTTCTCCCCACCAAGCTCTCAGAAATCACTCCCTATGCAGAAATGTCAAATAATTCCCCACTGCCAGGTCCATAGGTGGAGTGGAATCTAGCCTAAGATTTGAAGCCTCCAAAAAGCTCCCTGGCTGACATTTCCAACCTTCCCTTGCAATCCTCCCCTAACACCAGGCTCCCTCCAAACTTGGCCCTTCCCCCAGCTGTCCTCCAATCTACCCCAGCTTTGAGTTATTTATCACCACATCTCGTCTCACCTTCCAAGTTCAGTTCAAGTTCTGTTAACCCTCAAAGCCTTCCCAGATTCTTTCATCACTAATTACCTCTACCCCCATCAACAAAGCTGCACTCACATAGTTTGTGTTATACAGTCTAGACCTTAGTATTCATTTTGTTGTTGTTGTTTTTGTTTTTTGTTTTGAGTCAAGTCTCACTCTGGCACCCAGGTTGGAGTATAGTGGCATGTTCACAGCCACCGTAGCCTTGACCTGCTGGGCCCAGGTGATCATTCTGCCTTAGCCTTCCAAGTAGCTGGAACTACAGGCATGAGCCACCATGCTTGGCTAATTTTTGGATTTATTGTAGAGATGAGGTCTCGCCAAGTTGCCCAGGCTAATCTTCAACCCATGGGCTCAGGCAGTCCTCTCGCCTCGGTCTCCCAAAGTGCTGGGATTATCCAGCTTTCATTGCTTTTTATTGCTCTCTTAATTGGGAAGGCAGAATGGAACTAGAAAGAACACTAGGCTGGAGTAATAAGGCTTTTTAAAAAAATTGAGATGAAGTCTATGTTACCCAGGCTGCACTAGAACCCCTAGACTCAAGCAATCCTCTCACCTTAGCCTCCCAAGTAGCTGGGACTACAGGTGCTTGCAACTGTGCCTGGCTTATCTGGGTTTTGGCTCTGCCACTACTTGGCTGTTTGATTTTGGACATTTAACTTATTTGGACCCCTTCCTCATTCACAAAATGAGGCAAGACTCTTCAAGTCCTAGCCCACACATCCTGTGGTTCTGATGAGAGTTGTTGCCTCAGTGAGTAGAAACTTTGGAGGACAGAAATGATCACATACCTATACAGCCTAATCAGTCCTAAACAGAGCAGGACTAAAAGAAACTTAGGCGCCAATTAACTAACCCTAACCCTAATCCCTAACCCTTAACCCTAACACCTAACTGTAACCTCTTCAGTTAGAAGTCACAAACTTAAAAATTAAAAACTCCAGGGTGCTAAAATAATGTGTAGGCAGGACTTCGATCACTGAGATACACTCAGTTTTCTAAACAAGACTCAAAGCATCTTCATTTACACTGCTGAGCATTTTTATCAGTCTTATTCTTTTTTGTGTGGTTTGTTGTTTTTTTGTTTTCATTAAGCCCTTCCATTCTAGGGGGTTTTTTTTGGTTTTAGTTGGGGTCTCACCTTGTCACCCAGGCTGCAGCTAGGACTAGAGATGTATGCTACTTCACCATCAGTCTTATTCTTAAATTCAATTTCTGAGGCTAGGCAAGGTGGCTCACACCTGTAATCATAGCACTTTATGAGGCCAAGACAAGAGGATCACTTAAGGCCAGGAGTTTGAGATCAGCCTGAGCAACATAGGTAGACCGGTCACTACAAAAATTTTAAAAATTAGCTGGGCATGGTGGTACATACCTGTAGTCCCAGCTACTTGGGAGGCTCTAGTGGGAGGATCACTTGAGTGCAGGAGTTCAAGGCTACAGTGAGCTGTGATTACGCCACTGCATTCCAGCCTGAGTGACAGAGCGAGACCCCATCTCTAAAATTACATACATGCATACGTACATACATAAATTCAATTTCCTTCAGGGTTTGTTTCAGCTTTCCAATTGTAATGTAAGCATAAATAATGCATGCTCTGGGTCCCATCTTAGGCAGCCTTCCCAGGATATGCCACTCAAATATGTACCGTCTTCCTGTATCTTCAACCACTCTCCTCCTCCTCAGACCAGTTTAGTCATCTTAAAAAAAAAAAAAGATGTGGGGGGGAGGGACTTCCTTCTCATGTCACTTTCATATTTGACATACTATGTTGTTTATTTATTTAACTGGCTGTACCCACTAGATACTTGTAATTCACTGTATAGAAGGATTTTTTGTCTGTTTGGTTTACTGCTGTTTTCCTAGTACCAACAGCAGGGTCTGGTACACAGTTGATGCTCAGAAAGCGTGTGTTGAGTATACAAAGAGATTGATGAGAAGGCCATTCCAATAGAGACACAGCCAGGACTGTGTCTGAAGAACCTTGTGTGACACATTGAGTGTAGACTCCATCTTGTCAGTGACAGGAGTGTTCATGATCTGGGGAGTGAAACAAATGAAACTGTGCTGATGGGGAGACAAGCCTAGAATGGCATGTTTAGTTAGCAGGCCATTACAACTGTTCAGGCCAGAAGGAATGAGTCCTTGAATTATGGGAGTGGCAGAGAGACATTTTATAAGTAGATCTTAGTGACAAAATGTGTGAGGTACAGGAAAAGAAGGGTTATAAATTGATTTTCAGATATCTAGATTAAGCAACTAGATGAAAATTTGTGTTATTAACCAAAATTGCGATGAAAAGGAACCAATTTGCAAATACAAAAATTAACTTTTGGACTTGTTGAGTTTGAAGTTCTAGGGATGATCAACAGTTGGAAGTGTAGCTTCTCAATGCTCCCAAACCTAATCTTGTCCTTACCTCAATAACCCTATTGCCTACTTGAGAATATCTAAACCCCTGTGCCAAGTTATGGGCTTTCAAGTCATTTGTTGCCTTCTTTTCCGCCCCTTCTTTTACTGTTCCAACCAAATCCTCCACCCTGGTCTCTTTAGTGAAGTTCTTTTCACTTTTCCTGTTTTGGTGTCTTTGCTCACACCGTCCCCTCTGTATGTAATATCTTCCCCCGAGGAACTTTAATCCAGTCTCCAATTCTCAACTCAGAGACCACTGTCTGCTCAATGCTGCCCACTTCCAGCATTTATTACGGCAGGACTGTACTCCCGGTACCCCACTCCTCACTTGCCTAAGATCCTCAAGGGCAGAGCCCGAGGCTATAATTCCCCAAAGCCTCCAGAGCCCCGCGCTGCGTCCACCAGTCGCGAGTCTCACATAGCCGACAGAAAAGAGGCGAGACCAGACAAGCCAGGGCTGAGGAAGACTGCCCTTTTACCTCTTCGCCGTAGTCCTCAGGATAGAATTCCTTGCAGAGTCTGGGGACAGCAGTGACCTCCAGCGGGGAGCTGGACTGCAGAGGGCAGTCTACAGGACAGGAAGGCGGAGCCTCGTCAGCCGGCTCGGGATGGATGGTCCTGAGCCCTCTCCCTCCACCCTCCGCCTAAAGCCTCAAATCCTACTGAAAACGTTTAGACCTCAGGTAGACCCAAGTAGAGCTGCCTTTGCCCTCCTGGACCCCCTCTAGTCTTGTCTTCTCGCTCACCTAGCTTTATCCGTCCCACGGTCTTCGGAACCGGCGCCATCTCCCGCCAGGAGGAACCCGAAAATGAAAGAGAGTCTAAGTATTCGACACCGACCAAAGGGCGGGATAGGACACGGCCGGCGGCCATCTTTGTTAGGGGCAGAAATCTTCGGTTACGGAGCGCGAGAGAGTCCATAAACGTCCCCGGACTCCCGAACGAGAGATGACGACTCCAGGGTAGGGCGGAGTCCCGGCTTCAGCGGGTGTGTTGGGACGGGGGAATCGTTAGGTTCGATCCGGACTCGCCGCCCCATGGCCCACGCGTCTCGCTCCGACGGCCTTGTGCCTCCACTGTGGGCGCAGCCTGAGGGCGCTGGGGAGGAGCCGTGGGAAAGAAGGCGGACTGGCGCCCCGCGCGGGAGGGTTGGCGGCTGGCTGGAACTGTCGGCTGCCGGGAGCATCCCTTGCTCGGACCGACTACCTGGCAGAGCTCCC